CGAGAGTGGCGTTATCAGGATTATTGGTGTCATCGTGACGGTCATTAAGGTGATCCTCCTCCTCCTTGGACGTGCACCTTCCTCCGCGATCGTCGCATCGAAGATGCAGAAGGATAGAAGCCGCCGGTTGACGCGATCGCACGCTCAGTTTCGAGATCGTCCGCTAGCCAGATCGGCTTCAATTATTCAAATAAGCGTAGATGAGAGAGTCGATAGCCTTGGCGGATGCCCGACTGGTAGCTGCCGTCTCGAGGAAGCACCGGTGCCGCGGGTGCAACCCATAATTCGTAGACGATCTTTCTTCGAGCCGCCTCGGATGCGCGGAGACAGGACTCGGTTACCAGCAGCTGCGGTACGGACTCAAATGAATTTTTCTCGGCCAAACCGGGCGACGGATAAGCAGCCCGGCCAGTCTTAACGACGCCGGGTTCCCCGCAAGAATGGGCTGTCTCAACAAAGTGTCGAGAGAATAATTACGTTCCTGCGTAAACGTGGATTAACGAGACGATTGTTCTGCGCAACCGCTTGGCGCAGACCGTGGTGGGGCTTCCCCGATTGACGTCGAGCCCTCTAAAGAATGTTCATCACGCTCCCAAGCGGCCCGCGGAGGTAATGACAAGTTTCTTTTTCCCCTCTCGGTTTCCAGCCGGGAGTCGTACGTGCGACAAGTCCGTCTCTTTTTTTATCTTCTACGAGCTACGAAGAATGCACGGGCGCAACCAACAACTCGGGGAATCCAGAGGTGTTTTATTCTTTTAGGATATCGGGTTGCGTGAGTGAGATAAACGGATGCTTCCAATTAGTAATCGACAGTTTACAAACTTTTTACGCGGCACGATGCATATTTTAATTTACACGCGACTCCTGGACAGCTCGTGCGATGATTATTCAACCTTATAACCGGGGGAGTTGCGCTTACCGAATGTATTATGACGAGTAAACTCGTCGTGTCCACAGTAAATACGAAAAGACACAATTTGCATTTTAAACGGTTATTAAACAGTAGGGATCTTGATACGTTGTACGCCGGGATCTCTTTACGTTGTAATGTTAAATTAAAGTATTTTTGAGGAATCAAACTATCACGTTACATGGAAGATACCTGTGTTTAATACGTTATTTAAAATGCAATATTTCGTTCAATATTAATACATTCTTATAAACTTTTTGGACAAATTATCTTTAATCATCCTAAATAGCAAACTGCTTTTTGTTCGAAACGTGTTCAGTAAATGGTTTAAAATTATTTGGAAAACCTTATTTTCTATATTTTTTTCAGAATGGAGTTAATTTACCTCGAAAAATTACTTATAAATAGGGGTAAGATATATCTGATTCTCGCGAGTGAACAATTTATCAATAAATCGCTGCAAATTACAAATGCGTGACTTGAATTTGCAATTTCACTCAGATGACCGAGGCTATGGCTATTATAAAATTATTATAAATTCTTCCCAACTACGCGTGATATATTACTCCATCACCGTTTGCGTATAAATAACATTCGTGTAACTAATATTAATTACAGACATTAATTACCACCGTTTTACGCGAAGCGTGTTAAGAGACTACATTATTATTATTATTATAGTCGATGAAATAAAACAACTGCCGCGGTAGAAGTGGAAAATTAAAATCGTTTATAAATTCGCTATACCTGGCGCATACGTTGCTCTTTCAGAATCGTGTTCAATGTCTTTTTATGAAGTAAGATCTAAATATGGGAGCTATATTTTATCAAGAACTTGTTAGAGTAAAGCCAAGGAATGTAAAAACCCACGAAAAATTTATTAAAATTCTATTTAAAGGATTATCGAATGTACCTCTTTGTACATTTGTTGCAAGCAGTATAGTATGCGTTAACAAATTTTAAAACGCACAATACATCATACACTATCAATAAAAAAAATACATAGTAAGCATAGTTTCTTATATATTTTATCTATAAACCGTATTGAAATATATATTAAATTTGAATATTCTGACAAATGATAATATAATTCTATCCATATTACACCCCATTACACATTCTATCCATATTAATAATTTGACTAAATGATTGTTTTATACGTTTCGTAAAACGTTAAAATATTGTATGCCTTGTTTAGCGATGAAATCAGATGAAGAAACTATTCTGTGAGCATTTTGAACAACATGTAACAAAGAAAATATAAAAACTAAACAAAAAGGATTTGATGAAAATGTATATTTGTTGAACAACAAATAATTATGAACTATAACTCAAGCAGAAAAGTAGCCAACAATGGATTCTTTTTCAAACAATTCTAAAGAAGTTTAGATCGAAATGTTGTAACCTATGATGGGTTACATAGCAGATTTCGAAATGCAAGAAAATACAAACGAACATAGAGGAACAAACGATCTTGAAATAGATTTACGAGCCAGTTTCGTTCCATTGTGTGTATCCATGACGCGAGAGCAACAATAAACGAACTTCATCGTTCACGCACGAAGTTGCTAACTCAATCGATGAGGTTTAGCCGAGGCCAGTCGTACTGAAGTTAGAATTCACTATCGGCAGAATAATTACGAGTCGCACCGTGTATTTTCAGTTGGAAATAGTAAGGAGAGATTTATCTGTGCAGGATTGCGCTGGCCGGTTGTTCAAGCAGCAGGGTGCATTTATAAATAATACAACCACGAAGAAGAAAGCAGGTAGTCCCGGTTAATAAACGTCAAACCGTAGTTACTGGGGTAACCGGTAGCAAGAGTGTTACCCCAGTGCGTACATTAGCCCGCATAATTTTAGCACTTGCACCGCTTGAACGGAACTCTTTCAGCGTTGCGTCACAACATATCGTGGGTGAAGATGGCACCGTTTCGTTACATAACGCCCTTCGAACCGAGTCTTTGCTTTATGCGCAATCCTATTTTCATCGTACAAATTTCAAGCCGCACCGCGACGACTGTTTCCCTCCATGCGCCTTACTATTTTTGATAGAGACGATCATTGAACTATCCTCCGCGATTCAACGCGCCACGGTTCCATGGGCAAACGAGCATGCTTATTTCCAATCCGTGCAACTATGCATTCACGACTCGAGGCGAAAGTTTCGAAACTAAAAACGACAAACAGAAACTTCAAAGTTTGATCATCGACAAAATGTATGTGTTGAAATTATTGATGGTTCTTAATCTGGGATCCAAGAAAGTCGTAGATAGATTTTTTGGGATCTTAGATAAACAAGGCTGACTTAGGCTAAACTCGATGATCTTAGAATTAAACATTTGCTATAATTGAAGATTAACTCAAAAGTCATGGAAGATTCTGATGTACCTACAAAATACTTTCAATTGATTTTAAAGAATGTTATTCTGAAGACGTATCCATGACAAAAAAAGTTAAGAACCTCTAGTGTCACTCTGAAGTCGTATACCCATTATCTACGTTTTTTATTTAACCTGTCAATTTGGTATGGACTATAAAGAACCAGTAAACGACACTATTTTAAAATCTTGATTCACCATAGAATCAAGGACCTAAAAGTTATTTTATTGCAGCAGAACTTGCATGTTTCTGCACACCACGTGCACTTCTATCGTGTTACTTCGTAACCACAACGATTGATTCAACAATGTCATAAACTTACGAAGGGGCACGCGATGTTAATGATCCTAACAAATCTGAAACTTGTAAACTCAGTTTCTCTACAACCATCTGAATAGTACACAGGAAGGCCCATAGTCGTACACATATTTGTCTATTTCGCCGTGCGATCGAATAATTTATTATCTGCTATTTTAAAAGTGTTTTTTCTAGACTTTACGGTTTTCACTGCGAGTGACTGTACCTGTACACGCAGTAAAAAAATACAAAATTACAGAATTTTGTATTGAAATTCGAATAAAGTGAATATAAAAAGACGAGCATGTATTTTTAAATAAATGAAAATATTAATGAGACTTTTGACATTGCATCGACTTAATAATTTTTTCAAAATCGGAATTATATGAAAAAATGAATAATTTGATGGTATGATGATTGTATCATCTACATGACAAAACGACTATTGTACCGGTTACAATAGTTAAATACTATAAAAACCAAAAAACATACCGCCACCAACTAATTGAACAAGCCTCGCATATATGGTCAAATCGATAGCAAGGCAACGTAATTATTCATGCAATGCTTTATTAGTATCTGTAATGCTCTATTTAATAGCTATACACAAGATAGATGTCTTTACATATTACTCGTACTTATATTAATATTAATGATATGTTTATTGTTTTAGTCTCTGGCTATCGTCCACCTAGCTGCCCATTAACAACAACTTCAGACGCTTTAAAGACTCTCTGCACGATGCCTCTTATTACGTGGGTGGTTTAATATTTATGAGCGATTAAAGTCGATTATGACAATATTCATAATCTTCAAATTCAATATTAAACGATTACTGTCTTTTATTCAATTGATTTCCGAAGAAACTCGAGTTACTGATACAAGGTGGTCCAGCAGAAAATCGTATTTATACTTTAAAGATCAATATAGTAACATATGATAATAATATATCACATCAAAAAATACTTAAAGAGTATACATTTGAAAAATTACATGTAATTAAATCATACGTTAATATCCTCACTATCGAATAAGATTTAATTTGAGAAAACCCGATGTAAAATATGAGCAGTAACCTGATTCTGTTAAAAACAAATAATCTGAAAATGTAATGTTGCAATTATATGTTTCTTCTAAAAAAGGAATCAATTCCTCCACAAGATAACTAGAACCGCCATTAACTGACTTGCATGATTCTACTATCTGTTAAAATGTGAGTTCTTCCTGTGGGAAAATATGAAAAGGATCAGAGTACTTTTAAAAATATTAAAACATTACTATGTGCAAACGATACTCTAATTACTACGAACAGCGTATCATCTAATTTATCGAGCACCATAGAACGTATCGCGTAGAAGGAACTTGCCGGCAGCATCGCGACGCATGCGCAACGATAATAGCGTGTGTGTTAAACATGGCGACCGTAGCAAGGTTTTCACGGCAAGCATCTTCGTTCTCCCGTCAATTTCGCGGTGTCACCCGTTTTTACAGCTCGTGGCGCGGTGACAGTGATGTGAAAAAATGGCGAACCAGTGTTGGATACATCGCCGCGGCTTCTATAGCACTTCTTGTCGGATACTCAAGACCTAACGTGGTGCACGCCTTAAAATCTCGAAAGGTAAATACAGATTTTTGTTTCTCTGTCTCGCTGCATCTGTCGTATAATTAATATACGCCTACTTGTCTGTTAAAGACAGATCGACATATGCAAGGTTAAACAGCAACACTGTCTTGATTTTAGATAAAGGTTATGATCAGTGTGTTTTTGTACATCATATTGTAAATTTATTACTGTTTTCTAATTGCTTTTAATCAATTTGAATGCATCTTGATTAGACAACCATGTTATGAATATGTCTTTTTATCAGATGAAACGTTTTACAATGGGACATTTGTAAGACATGACTATGGATTATAGGTTAGGATTCTAGTTTTTTAGAAAGTTCGATGTAAACAAGGTCAAATGACACATAGTTTGAACGAAACGGGAATTACTTACACGAATAAGGATGTAATGGTTGTTCCAAAATCATTTGTGAATGATTCTCAGCCTGAATACTGCAATTTTTATTATTAACAAACCCATTGCGTCGGAAATGAACTTCATACCTGATTTTCTTGTGAAATTCGGGATCCGTTTCAAGTTTTTGTGATATACAATCACTGAATCGATTGGTTGCGCATCAAATGATCATTTGGCTTGAGTTCTTGGGTCAGTACGATCTTTTAAGCACGTGTACCAAGATACTTTCGCAGAATTCGTTTCATCGTCGATCGAAAAAAACCCAGTTGCTGAGAACGTCGCGAAATTGATAAATTTCGATCCATCCGACACTCTCACAACATAATAGTAATAAATAATAAAAACAAGTACGTACATTATAATGTAAATGGATATTCTAACACTTTCTTTGCCAATGTAAATCGAAAACGTAATTTTAATTTAGCGAAAATTCCTCGAAACAAGGATTCTAATTTATTGAATCGTGTAACGTTTTAATTATTAATATTACCAGTTCAAACGAGTTTGATTTACGTCGTGTTTGGGTTCATTTTAATTGAAGCTTAGCATAGCTATCGGTACTATTTTTAAAAATTAAGAAAAGTAACGATATCTCTTTAAAGTGCTGGGTCTACATCTATCTCGCTTCCTCTCTGTTCGAGTCCACTTCTGTAAAAAATACATTGTATATTGCCAAGGATATCAAATTGATGAAATTCAACTGTGTTTTACAGTATGTAGAAGGGAAAAATTCGTGCAACAAAGGATTAAACGCTATCAAGTGAACGTCAGTTCGAATTATAATTCTCTCTAAGGAGTGTGGTCCTAAATCTTGCGAAATGCGATACACTCCCTAATACCAAACCACGATTCTCCCAACACCGACTTGCTTCACGCCCCACGGGAATCGCACGCCGTTAACGCGAACGTTTAACACGTCCCGTGACGTGTTCTCGCGTGGATACGGGTCGTCTGCGACTCTAGCACAAGTGCAGGATCCTCCCGATCCTCTCTCAGACGACCACAAATCACACGGAGCCAGCATCTGCAGCCACGCTACGGAACTGGCAGCCGTTATCGCATTCGAGATTCGACCGCATCGTTTATCCTCAATCCTCGTCGTGGTCGTTTCACCATTGCGATACAACGATCGAAGGATACGCTATCCGGAGATAACGTCGAACATGGCTCCAGGGATACGGAAAAACAACACGCGAATCGAATCATCCGACCGAATGATAATAGGACACTAGAGCAGCTCATCGCGGTACCGTTAGCGGCTTACTCTGTTTACTAGACATATTTACATATGGAGTCCTTCGGGGACTGGCCGAGTTATTCAAACGTAAGCGACATCTACTGGCTGAACGAAATTAACCTGTAATACACTATTACGTTGGCGTATATGAAACGTTGAATATTGTCTATCGAAGAAGATTCAGGTAAAAATTATTATGGGACTTGATGTTGCACAAACTAAAATTCCGCCGGTACTGATATTTTTTTCTAAAACGTGGGTAGGATTTCGGGGGTAGGTCTATTCACCAAAAATTATTGTAATTGACCCCCGCAACCGAAAATAATTTTTCCAAAAAATTTCACACCTTCTCGAATTTTTTTCTCGAAAATGGATAGGATTTCGGGATACGTCTATTCACCAAAAATGCTTGTAATTTACCCTTGTAAGTAAATATAATTTTTTTTAGTATGATGTGAAATTTTTTAATTTCGTCTAAAAATTTCAGTACCTACTCGAATTTTTTTCTCGAAAATGGGTAGGATTTCAGGGGTATGTGTATTCACCAAAAATGATTGTAATTGAGCCTCGTAACCAAAAATAATTTTTTCAGAATGATTTGAAATTTTTTAATAAAGCCTTAGTCAAGAAATTGATATTCTTGATTTTCGTCTTATTTTGAATAGAATTCCCATTAAAATTTTACCCAGGGATGGCCGAACACCCTGTATATGTATAGGAATAGGTGGACGGTCAAGTACTTGTGAGAGACCGTATCCCTCTGCTGGCGAGTACGGGAGGTGTCACCAGAAAACTATTTTAAATTCGCAGTCATTAGCTCAGATGCATTTAACACTGTTGAAACTAAGTATGAAGCGAAGAATCTTGTTGTTGGATGTATCTTCGCAACACGGTGTTCTTGCTCATACTTGCATCTAAAAAGAAACTTTTTAATACCACACGCTCTAATCACATAATTATCTCAGAATTCTTAGAAATCGATCTTTTTTCGAGATCTTTGTAATCCTTATTTACCTCATTTTTGCAGAAACGAAAAAAAGGCTGATTATTAACTTTTGTATATTATTGATAAATACCTGTTGAAAAGGATCGCTCATGTTATCGGAAGAAATACTTCCAAAAATGTGTGGACAAATGTTCTATACGCACGATGGAAGTTAATTACGTAGCTATTTGATTAATCAGACCCCGGTCCTTTAGATTTCTCTATTCAGAGGTATCTCAAGCAGATTGTTTATCAGAAACCAGTTACTAATTAACAAGATCTCTGTGGCTGCTTTGTAAGAGATTGTTGAATGATCCAGAGTACGCCAAGAACGTGTTCTACAATCAGAAAGACAACTTGGGGCATAGCATTTAAAGTTACAAGCATTATTCAATCTGAACATTCCATTTTTATAAAATTAAACATGCATTGGCTTTATGAAAATGTCTTATACATATTTAGTAGTGGGTTTCTTAAAAGCTAAAAGAAGTCTATTCCTACATGTTCTATTTTAAGCCAGTATGTAACACTTGACCACATAGGAAAGTTGGAAAAAATAAAAGTTAAACAAACTTGTTGCTGCTGTTAACTTGTCTATCTTCATGGTTGGTCGATGTTTATTGCCAATGTGACGGTCTAATGTAGAAATGCAATAATTTGACACGGTATCTTAAACTTGCATGACAAGCGAATATGATGTTAAGGCTCTTAAACTTAAACTTGTTCTACAAGTGGATAAAATGTGAAGAGTAATCTACGCGATGAGACCAGCTAATTACTCTGAAGCATTACATAGGGAATGGCTAAAGGTAGTATCGATACGTGATGTTTTAGCGGCCAGATTTGTAATAACGCTGGTTTTAAATTAAAAATAATAGTTGAAAGGAAGGCTTAAACGAAGTTTAGAGGATGATTTTACGAGAATATTGAAAACGCTAAAAATAATTAAGGAACGATCTGGTTACAGGTTATAAACTTCGAAGTATCAAGATAATGCATCCGATATGCAGAATTTATGAGAAAAGCGACGCCCAATGAATATCACCCCTCTTAACATATTAAGTAGCAAATTGTTGGTCGCGGGCACTACTAGGATGGGTGACCGCTTGGGAAAATATTGGGATTTTTATACCGTTTGTATTATTTTTACCTCTTTAGCTGCTCTATACTTGAGCATTACTTGCTCGTTAATACTATAAAAAAAATCCGTAATATGTATTAATTAGATTTCTAATTTAAGTACATTCTACTAAGATTAGATTTAACATGAACATTACGTGATCAGATTATTTAAACATATCAAAATATCGTCGTTTAAATCGCAATTATCAATAAACATTACTTACTAAAATATTATGTCCGTTTCTAGCTAAAACTGGTGTACCATTTTAAGCAACTCTATAATAGTAATTAATACATAGTTTTATCTCTGAAAATCTAGAAACACGTGAAGTACAGTAGCCGTAGAACCGGTCCTTATCACCGAAGAAAATGTTATTCTATTCGAATACAACCGAGTAAATGTAACTGCTAAAATAGTAAATTTGGTATAACTAGTATTATCTAAATGATTCGGTAACTTCATTTAAAACGTTGCTCCACTAATGACGTAAACTACTGTAGAAATAGACCAGATGTTGGAAGTAGAAGCTGTGCCAGATCGAATCGAACGAATGAACGTCGTAGACACGCTATCTACCAGTTCTTTGTTGAACAAGTGTAACATCTGATACCAGAGAACAGTCATAAATAGAGACACGAACCCTATAAAGTGAAATTCCGCGAGATTCGCACGGGAATGCAGGACCGTAGATGTCGTGTAATTGGAACCCGTTTATCAGATAAACCATTACAATCCGATGTAATGGATAACCTAGTGTTTGCTTGCTAAGGCAAACCTGACTTTCTCGCAAGTTCGCGTCGCCGTAATCTCTCAATTCTGTTATCTACCCAATTTCGTGACTGATATCACTCTTCAAATTAACCCTTTTGCCAATTATATTCAAATTTTAATTCGGTCTAATACGAACTCGTAAAATTAAAAAATTCTTCCTTTTTTAATATCCCACCATAATGAAAAATATTTCAACTTTTTTCTCTAATTTAAACAATTTTTTTTATGCCCAATGTTTATATCGTTAACTTCTTTACGGTCCTTGTTAATATCTTTTTTATTTAAAATATTTTCACCTCTGTAATAATTTTGTAAAAATTCTGTAGTAAATTCATTATATAAATTTGCTTGTTCAAGACCGACAACTATAGTTTTGTTACTCGACCACCATTGCATTTGATTTATATTTTCTTAACGAACGAACTCGTGAAATGGATTTTGTATCAATAACAATAATTACCATTAGTGACTTGTGAAAC